TACTTGTTAGTAGATATGTTGTAATAAAAAAATTAGTATACACTCTCTATCTCAGAATAATTGATATTTTTTATTTAAAATTTATCCCAAAATAATAGTCATTTTTTTTTATTTTGAGAAAGATAAATAGTTTTTTTCTACTTTAACTTTATAATTATCTTTTAACCTTAATTATTTATTTTTTGATGGAAGTAGACATTTATTTTTAGTTATTTTTTAAGTATAAAATATATAAAGATAAAAATTGTTTTCAAATCTTTCATTCGAAGATAAAACAAAAAAATCTATTATTCTAATATGGAGGGAGTAATATTTAAGTAATAAAACTTATTGATTTTTTATTATCACAAAAAATTGTATAATTTTCTTTTAGGATTTAGAGTTGTTGAACTTACAAATAAAATTGAATATTATAGTAATATTGAAGTTATATGGAATAGAATTGGATCGAAGTAAAAAAATTGAAAAAAAAAAGAAGAAGTACAAATCCATAAATGAAACATATATGAATCCAATAAAAAGAAAAACCTTGGATATAATCATATAGAGAAAAGCAATAGGAACATAAATTAGTATAAAGGGAAGATAAACTCGTATATAGTGTAATTAGCTAGTAAAAAGGGGAAAAAATTTTGTTTGCTTGTAGAAAGTGGTAGGTGAAGAGATAAGATGTTACCGTATTTTTGAACCATATCAATGGCTTGTGGAGACAAGAAAATCAAAGGTCTATATTCTCATTTACAAGTTAATTACTTTAATGTTTACTCTTCCAGTTTCTATAGCAATAACTGAAAAAGTAGTTTCTACCATGAAAATTATGAAAACAAGATTTTGCAACAAAATGGAAGATGAATTTCTATCAAACTCTTTGATTGTTTATATTGAAAAGGAAATAGTTCAGTCATTTAGTGTATACAATATTATAAATAGATTTTGTAACATGAAAACTCATCAAGTACTATTTTAATATATGATATGAAATTAACTTTTTAAAATTAAAATACATTATTTTAAGACTTGAAAAGCCGGCCTCCCCAGACTAAAATTCCTAGCTCTGCCCCTGATGAATGGTCAACCATCAGATAGACTTGGGGGGGACTTCTTTGAGTATTATAAAGATTTCACTGGGAGCTAGCTATTGAGGGATGAATTTATATGGTTGTGTAACCAATGGTGTGTGCAAGTCCACATCAACAAAGGCCCACAACACTTATTCGCCACATCGGACGTGTAATTCCTATTTTTCACTAATTGCTGCAATGGAATTAGCATCGCCAAAAGCGACACTTATTCACTTCGCTAGAAACATCATAAAATGCAGCTCACTCTAGCATCTATTTCCACGTACATGGCCAAACATGGTTAGATCTATTTTGGTGACATGGTTAGGCATTTCTTGACAATCATGTCCTCTGTGGCAATATTCACTACTGTATTTTATGGCTCTCAGCGATGGATAAAGAGTTAGATTTGCTATCTTATTTAGCCTCCAGCAATGGGCAAAAGGATACATATTTCTACATGTTTCATTACACCGGCTCCTAGCAACAGACAAAGGGTTCAATTTCTACATATTCTATCTCACTAGCTCTTGGAAAAGGACAAAGAGTAAGCGCAACTCGATATGATTAACGTGAGGTTAATAACAATTGCAACCCTATGATTGGACAGGATGGCTACCCTCCAATGATAAAAATCCATCGAGTAACGGCCAACGATCCCTTGATGGTCATCGGTGCATGGTGATGCGGTGCCCAACGGGCAACAACAACCAAGACCACCTTCTGACAGTACGAGTACGGCTAGAAGGGCTAGCGTTTGTCAATGGTATTACACCTTGTCGTATCGAAGGCCATGGATGTGGCTGGCGTCCCCCTTCCATGAAGACAACTCCACCCCTCTCTATACATATTCATCGCTATGGTAGAGTCTAATTTAATGAGATTTACCCCTTCACGACTTGGTGGATTAGTGGG